AAATCATATTTTCATTTTAACAATATTGTTTTTATTCCAGTTTATTGATTGTGATTGTAAAGCCTAAGGAGGCTGGTAAACATTGCAAAGAGGGATTTGTATTCCTTAATAATATTCATAAACTTAACCATGTTGTAGCCTGAAAAAAGGCTAAACCATTTCAAAGAATACATTTATTAACTTCATCTCATTTAGCTGTAGCTTTTATAAACAACCAAAAAGACGTATTGTTCAGTCGTTGAACCAGGGACCCTGCGGTCGTGAGTCAATTGCTTTCTACCTGAGACACAGCACACACACTGAATTTCCCTGAAAACACTCTACAATATTTATTCCTGTATTTATTCATTTATTTATTCATGTTTTTATTCCTACATTTATTTATGCTTTTATCTATTTATACTTATGACATGTTCCGACCTCTATATAAGTGAGGGTCTGAGCTCTTTTAATTCCATTCCATGGTTCTTATTATACATCCATGGGTATTATGAGCGTTGTGGTTCAACGGTTCAAACATGGGTTCAACCGATCGGAATCACTTTCTGAAGCAGTCACGTGGTATCGACAGGCAGCGAGGCTTCGTTTGTCATCGATGACGTCACTGGCCCAAAACGATACAAGCCTCGATACATGCTTCACAAAATGCTTCGGGGATTACTCGACACACGCTCCGAAGCCTCGGCGCAATACATAACATCACTACTGCTTGCTTCACCCACCGTAACATATACCCAGTCTTCCTGAAAGAACTTGCGCTGAGCTTCATATAAACGCAGTCCATTTACTGTGCGTTCTTGTAGGCAGAATGGATTTGGTGTGAACTCGATGTGTGGCCGCGTGGCGGGGATCCTGGCTCCACTGGTGAGGCTGCTGGACGTCTACCATCACTCCATCCCCATGCTGATATACGGCATCATCCCCATCACTGCTGCTGGTCTCTGCTTGTTACTGCCTGAAACCCTCAATGTGGAACTCCAGGACCACACCGAGCCCGAGTGAGTGGAGTATACACTATGGCAAGCCCATTTAGCTTTTATTCATTTCTGGAGGATATCAAAAAATCAATTCTTGTTTTTCTGGAGGATATCTAAAAATCAATTCTAAGAATTGATTTTTTGATATCCTCCAGAAATGAATAAAAGCTAAATGGGCTTGCCATAATACACAGCTTTACTTGAAAAACAAACGTATTCGGTGTAAATAATTGTATATAACAATAATTTGATCTGTTTTTAATTTTAGGGAACCATCAAATGGAGCTTCGGAGAACGCTGAAGTAATAATTCAAGAGAAAAAACTTTAATTTGTACTGTTGTTCTTCTTCCTTTATTATAGTCAGACAACTTTTCTACATGTATTAGCATTTTTTTTCAACCTCTTTTTATCGGTGTTGTTTGCATAAAAGTGTTATATGAATAAAATGTAATTCACCAGAGCTTTGTTGAAAGTGTTGGAAAAAAGTTATTGAGGTAACAATTTAGCCTCAGTAAATGTTTGGATCTTTCTGCATACCCAGGATTTTAATATCAAATGTATGTTAATTTTTGTATTTCTGTCAAACCTATTTTTAATTAGCACTGTGACCACAAGAAATAATTTTCCAAAAAGTTAACTGGGATTTGTTTTGGTAATTCTAAACGAAACAAACGGTAAATGATCATTTACTTTAATAAAACTGATTGATTAAACCATTGAAGCAATTAGGCGGGTTATGCATCAACACATTATCACGTATTATGAACGCACAAAGATTTAAACACTCGTTGGTGCCTCAAACGCATCGTCATGATTCTCCGTGTTCACCGTTAAATCAGCTGAGGAGAGAAACACAAGACACAGTTTGAAATGAAGGGATGCCACATTATTAACCATTTATGAACAACAAAAGGATATATATGGTACTCACTTTGTTTGAGTCTCTATGCCTCCGACTCACTGGACACCGCGTCAGCAGAGTTTCTCAGAAGCCATCGGTTCTTGTGTTGAACGTGTCCGAAGCCTTCGTCGTAGTTTCCCTTTCTTCTGAACAGTTGTTGGTAGTGAAATATGCAGTAGAACTCCCCATGCAGTGGTGTGTAATTTTGCATGCTACAGTACAAATAAGCAAAATTGTTTAGTTAAAGTTATGTTTCACTGTTGTGCTGTACCTTAGACCCCGATCCAAACGAAGCTGATTGGTTTTTGCTCAATTTATATGCAGTGGTGAAGCAATATTAAAACGGTTAATAATCAGTTACATTTGTCTCTATTAATATGACAGTGTTTTTATTTTTAATTGCATAGCCATATCTTAAGGTAGCTTATCGTGATACAATCTTATAATAAATAATATGTTTTACAGTTCAATAGTCTGCTATTCAGGCTTATGCCAAGTTTATCGATATTTCAATAACAATCAGTTTTGTAAATCATTAATAATTGTTGCAGTTTGATTTTTTGTCGATTATGTCGGTATCTCACCTTAACTTTTTGTTGCACTGTTTACAACAGAAGCAAGTTTGGTGAAAAACGTATTTGTCTGCGGTAATTTTCTCCATCGGATAAACCGGCTTCGAACAGGCTGAACACGTCTCTCGACAAGCCGGTTGAAACTGATGAAAGAAATGACGTTGAGCTTTGTTAAAAACAAAAATACTTATAATAGGTAATCAAAAAAACAACAAACACAAAAGCATGAATGAAAACCAATGACACGTCTTTAATTTCAAATGCAAATCAAAAACAGTTTTAAGAAGAGACCAACACAAATCTCAACCATCAATAGAAACAAAGAGGTATTTAGAAACATATCTTCACAAATAAAAGTATGTACACAACAACTTTGTCAGAAAACGTATGAGGAAACACATTCAATGGGTAACAAACTTCACTTTTCAACAAATTATTTAAAGTTTTAATTGATCGGCACCTAAACTTCTGGGTACTTTCACCTTGTGGATATTGTTCCTAGCTAACCAGTGGGACATTAAAACCCAATTTCCAAATGGTTCAGTCCTCTCATAGTTGTTTGACGGTCTTCGAGCCCACGATACTTTTCCCCTCGTGGTCAGTCTGCACCTCGAGTACACTCATCTCTCGTTTAGGGTTGCTAGGCGATTGTTTTTTACCTCCTTTTCTGGGGTCCTTCTTCCTGTTTTGAGCGGGGCTGTTGCACGTCACGGTTTTAGTCGACCTGAATCTCTCCTCTGTCTTTGGAGTGTTCTGACACTTCGGGCAGATCGTGGTCTCAGGTGGAAGCAACTCTGTTTTCTCTGTCTTTTTAGCAGCTGATTGGATAGAGATGAAGGCAGGAGAAGATGGAGGGCTTGCTTGTTGTTTTGCAGACGCTCCTTCACCCTGACTAACGAGCAGATCTGAGTCTCCTTGTGCTGTCGTGCTAACCTGTGTCTGCAGTGGTTTTGTTCCGCTTGACTCGATGCTAATTTTGCTAATAGCACCAGACGATGGAGGCCCTTGATCTACCGCTAAAGACTCTTTGAACAGGCGCGATAAACCAGCGATATCTGCGTCTGATTTCAAAGTAGAGACGGAATAAAGAGCCTTTTTAATCCTTTCCTCTATTTCCACAAGTCTTGCTAAAGTATGTTCTTTAAGAGTTGTGATCTCCTCACTGGCTCGTTCAAGATTTCCAAACACATGTGCCATTGAAGACTTGCTTTCGGTGTTGTTTTTCGTTACTGGCAGCTTTCCTTCTTTGTTTCCTTTTCTCTTTTTCTTTTGTTTCTTTTTCCCGGGGATGACGACCCACTCTGGTACGTCCTCGAACACTTTCCTTAAACAACTTACGTCTACCTCGCTTGTGTCCTGTTCAATTTCTTCGACTCGACTGAGAATGCTCTGCAGTTCCTCCTGCTTTCGCAAGTTGTCAAAGATATCCATGGCTGCGGTCATATTCTCCGTCATGATCACATCCATGTGGACTGACAGACGCTGCCGACGTTCGACCTCTGTCTCAGTTCGTCCTTTCTTCTCCCTCATCTCCACTCTACCTTCTTCTTTCTTTACTTTCTCCTTCTTGCTGTCAGCAGTTTGTTCGCAGGTGTTTGGCTCACTGCAGGATGAACCAGGTACAGTTGGTTGTGGTTCCTCAGCAACGTGTGCAAGAATTGAGGTGTTATTGCCAGACTGTTGTTTTTGTTTTTTGTTCTCCACCTGGGCATTTCTTTTTGGCTTTGCCGGAGCCTTCTTCCCTGAAGCTGCGTTCTTACCTTCAAATTTCTTACATGCTTCCTTAAAATCGACATGGCTTTCATCCGTTTCATTCACGTTCTCTTTGATTGGGGAATCCTTGGGGCTTTTCTCTTCGTCTGTGACGTTTATCTCCTGTTGTCGCCTAATGTCATTCTCAGTTTCCAAGATAACGACTGAACCTTGAACTTGATGCCTCACTTCACTTTCCTCAGACATCGGTGTGGCTTCATCAAAAGGCTTTTTGCTTTGATGATTCGCTGAACCCGACTCTGCACAAACGTTAGCTTTGAACAGACCTTGCTTTCGTTCATCCTTACATGTCACCAGTGTTTTGGGCAATGGTTGAGGAACTGTTTCTTCTACTTTTACAGTAATAGTTTGGGTTGCCTCAGGATTCTTTGTATCAGTTGACTGAATCTCTCCTTGTTTCACTTTCAAATGCTCAGGTTTGGGTGGGATGGCTGGTTTTGGAGCCACAAGTATTGCATTGCTTTTCTCTGAGACATCACTTGTTTCTGGTTTATCTTTGGGCTCTGCATGTGTAGATGTCACCTGTTCTTTAGAGAGCTCTTGTCTCACTGGTGCTTGAGTTGGATCAGGGTCAGTCACGGGGCAAAGCTCTTCCTTAGCGGGGATTTGAACAGACGCTGTTTTCAAATGTTGTGATCTTTGAGGTTTGGACACATTTCTGTATATCATGGCGTCTCTGAAATCTCCCCTGCTGACATTGATGTTGGATTTCTGCAGGGAGTCCAAAGCAGCTTGAAGTTTACCGTGAAAAACAACTTCCTCTTCCTCCTGTTGAGCCTCGATTGTTTCTGGAATATGTTCAGGCTCCATAGCAGCTTGCAGGTGTTGTTTCTGGAAGACTTCTGCTTCTTGACCCATTTTGCGGCATGTGTGAGTAGTTTCTTCTTCAGAATGGCTATCTTTATGGCATGTCTTTGTGTGAGGTAATTCTCCTTGCGTAGTTGACTGTTTGACATCACCTGCTTTAACTGAGACGGGTTCTTGATAGTGAAGTCTCTGTTTTGATACTGCTGAGTGATGCAAAGATTTGGCCTCGATGGTGGCCTGATGGAGGCTTTGCATTGCAGTTTGGAGGTCAGAAATCTCCCCGTTGTTATCTACCACCTCGACTAATTCAGCCTGGTGGACCTGACCATCGTCCTGTGTGCCACAATGTAGGTTTGATCCCTTTGGTGCAACTGTAGAGTTACATACCTCAGGTGTTTTGACATCCATCTCTGTAGAGGACTGGCTCTTTCCAAGACCTGTGACTGCACAAGAAATGGGGGCACGATTTTCCCATGCATTTGGTTTGGGCTGGATTGGTCTTTGATCTCCAGAGAACATGTTTTTAAGTCTCTTTATATCCACTGGGACCCATTCTGAAGCACTCTCCTCTGCTTCATCACCTCTCTGTTCATGATGCAGATCCATTCCTTGTTCAGCCACATTTTGGCTAAGAGGGAGTTCTTGTTCTTGCTCGGTTGGCTCCGCCTGAAGAGTTTTCAAATACTCCAAATCACCCTTTTCAATACAACTCTTGAACAGTTTAACGTTCCCTTTTACTGTGATTTCAGGCCGCACTGATCCTTGGTCTTTGGGAGTCTCTAGAAGGCAGCTCTTGGTTGATGCAACAAAACCTCCTCTTTCCTGCTCTGGTTCACAATGCTCTGCACCTTTTGGAGGACTGTAACTCTTCAAGTCGTCCACATCCAAATAATAGTAGAGGGAGTAGACTATGACTTTAGCCCCTCCGTCCGTATCCTCCTGGATTATCACTCCTTTCCGCAGAGAGTTATCTTGATTGAGAATATCCTCGACAAGCTGAGCCATGTTGGCGGTTTTAAACTCTGTGTCTTGGTTGGTACTGAAGTGATGATGCTGCACTGGTATCTTCACCAAGGTGGCCTCGATCTTTCCTTCCCTACCCTCCTTCAGATAAGTGATATGAGGCTTTAAGTTTGACCGTGGTAGCAACTGGAGTATGAAGTTTTGCGCACCACCTTCAGCCACCTCGTCGTATTTGATCTCAGGCCCATCTTCTGATAGAGTGAATTTGGCCTTTTTAGCTATCATGGTCTCATTGACCTCAATGATTGAGCCATCTGAATGTATGGCATTAACTTGATAAAGGGAATTCAGGGTTTCCTTGATGTTCTCAACCTGCCACTCAATTTCATCCTTGTTCTGATTCATGATTTGGTCGAATGGCATTGATTCAAACAGGTGAGCTCTGTTTTTGACATT